CTCTTTTATCCAGGCTCGCCATTTTGTTGAGAAGCCTAGTTTGTTCATCATTTCAGCAAGGAACTCCCAATTAATGCTGTCATATGCCTTTTCAAAATCTTCTTTGAACACCAGCATTGGTTTCTTTGACTGCTTAGCTTCGTGAATGATCTCATTGGTGATGATTATGCCATCTGTTATATGTCTTCCTCCAATGAAAGCTGTTTGGTTAGGGCTTATCACCAAGTCCAACACCTTTGACAGCCTATTAGCAAGTATTTTGGAGACTATTTTGTACATGCTGCTGATGAGAGAAATTGGCCTGTAATCCCCAAGACTTTGAGGGTTGTCCTTCTTAGGAATCAAGACTAAGAATGAAGCATTGCTCCCTTTAACTAGCTTGCCATTTTCATGAAATTCTGCTAAGAAAGCATAAACATCCTCCTTAATAACTGGCCAAACCTTTTTAATAAAATTGAAATTAAAACCATCTGGGCCTGGGCTTTTGGTTCCATTGCATCCCCACACTGCTTCATCAATCTCCTCAGAAGAGAATTTGGAGATTAAGAACTTATTATCAGCTTCACTAATCTTCTTGAATTGCAAGTCTCCTAGTGTAGGTCTGCTCCACTTTTCTTCTTCAAATTTACCTTTGAAGTAGTTTCTTGCCAGCTCCTTTACCTCACCGACATCTTCGATCCATTCTCCATTGCTATAAAGGCCTGTAATTCCATTTTGCTTTCTTCTATGGACAATGCAACCATGGAAGTACTTCGTGTTTGCGTCACCTTCTTTTAATCATCTCTGCCTAGATTTCTGAAATAGCATGCTATCTTTTGCCTTACTCCACTCCATGAGCTTCTGAAAATTCTCTTTTCTTTTACCGATCTCCATGCTTGTAAGCCCACCATTCTCCTCTTTTTCATCTAACCGCTTTATTTCTTCTCTAGCTGCATCAATATTTCTATCCACCCCTCCGAATACTTCTTTGTTCCAAGCTTTCAACTCCATTTTTAACATCTTCAGCTTTTCTTTTAGTTTGTAACAGCCTCACCCATCTATCTCAAAACTTCTCCACTTATCATGAACAAATACATCAAAGCCCTCGTGATTCATCCAGCAATCTAGGCTTCTAAATGGCTTTGGACCCCAATCCGTATTTAAGCTTTTTAGTAAAATAGGGCAATGATCTGATAAGTCTCTATTCAAAGCTCTTAGAGACAAATTTGGGAAATTGATTAGAAATTCTGTGGAGAATAAGAATCTATCCAGTTTACTCATTGCTGTTCCATCTGGTTTATACCATGTAAATTTTCTCCCTACCATAGGTATTTCCTCCAAGCCTGCTCCTAATATGAAGTCATTGAAACCTCTCATATCTGTAGCATCAATGTACCTCCCACTTCTTTCATCTTGGTCTCGTACTGCATTAAAATCCCCTCCAACACACCAATTTCCACCTCTATTTGCCTTAATTAAGTCGAGGAGTTCACCCCAAAAGATTCTTTTCTCTTGCTTATCATAGGAAGAATAAACATTTATAAGAAAGCAAGGCACTGCATCATTTCCCCAGAAACCAAACATTCCAATAAAGCCACTACCTTCAATTCTTCGCACCATGTTGAACGAATCTAGATTCCATACGCACGCAATTCCTCCAGATCTTCCTCTTGCATCTTTTGCAACCCATGCACAATGCTCATCACCCCAGATGGATTTTGCTATTTTATCATCGAACACTTCAAGTTTTGTTTCCTGAATAAAGACCAGATCCGCTTTCTCTTTCCTTACTAACTCCCTTAAGCCCCTTTTTTTATTACTTCCCCCTAGTCCCCTGATATTCATGGAGATGATTCTCATTTGGGATTTGTTGCTGCTCCCTCTTTTGCAGCTACTGTCAACTTCTTTTGTTTTACCAAAGCTATTCTATCTCTTTTCTCCATTTCACCCACTCGCCTAATAAGGTCCTCCACATTGCCCTTATAAATCAGCCCTAGCCTCAACCCTATTTCCCAAAATTCTGCTGCTTCTTGTTTCCACTTCTTACTGCTTTCATTTTTACAATTCGAGGAACTGCATTCCCCTTCAATTCCAGCCATTTGGTGAATGCTCTTCAAATTATCTTCACCAATGCTTGCTCTGTTCTTACGTTTCCTTCTTCCCTTCATTTGCTTGACCCACTTTCCTTTTCTTGCTCTATCTCGAGCCAGGCATTCTGCCCTTGCTTGGAGGATCTCGTCATCACTTGCTAGCCCCTCCCAAAATGGCTGAGTACTTTTCTCTTCCTCTCCCACCTTCCTTCTCCCGTCTTCCAAGTCGCCTACTTCTTTTGAGTCTTCACTTTTTTCATTGGCCTGGGTGATAGTCCTTTTTAGTATTTTAACTCCTTGTTGGGAGCCCATGCCCTCCTAGCTAATTTCATGGTTGAGGTTTCCTTGGCCCAAATGTTGTAATCTTAAATTTGTATTAATTTTCTGGGCCACCCCAACACTGTTGCTATCCAATCTCAACTGTGAGGTGTTTTGGTCCATAAGGCCCAATTGATTGACATTTTGCTGGTACACATTTCTGTCTCCTTCCTTACCCTTGTGCAAGCTGTCAGAGCCGATTTCCTCATTGCCGTCTTTAGCATTGCTTTTTCCATTTTCCAATAGATCTACTCCATGATCCTCCTCGGAACTACCCTCTTTGCTTGCTACCGCCAACAAATTTGAATTGCATCCATCAGCATTAAATGCAACTTTTTTTGGCAGCGTGGTTTCAGGAACTTTTTCTGACAGCTTGGTTTCAGAAACTTTTTCTACCTCCGACTCCAGCTCCGGCTCCGGCGACACCCCCCATCTCTTCCTTCCTGAATCGACTTCCTCCATGATCTCCCTATCTTCATCATCCTGCATAATTTGCCAACCATCCCAATTATGTTCGTTTTCAGTTTCACCCCAATTTGATTCATCTGACCATTCTTCATCCTCAGATTCTTCATTTCTGCACAGTACAAAGTCAGAGTGGAGAGAAAATAAATTATCAATCCCTGACTCCTCTGAGATTCTAATTTGAAATGTGGACTCCCTGGCTTTAACCTTTATCACCCTCTGAATATTAGCCTGAGAAGGTGTCATGACCAAGATTTTGGCCACATCCAATCGTGATTTTTTAATAGTACTATTGTCAAGGGAGATAAATTTTCCAAAGAGATTTGCCACTGTCTCGAAGAAGCTGCTCTTCCATATATGTAATGGTACCCCTTGGCATCTCAACCAAGTAAATCTTTCTGCTGCAACCAACTCGGGATTCCAAGGTTTGGTATCTGTGAACCACTGTGCAGGCCAGTCTCTCCCAGTTTCTACTAGATTCTTTAGTTCCTCACTGTCTTCGCAAGTGATCAATACCATATTACTACCCATTGGTGTTACTTTTGCTGAGAAGTAACCTTCCATTAGGAATTTTTCCTGAAGATTGCAGATGATTTCGGGACTCTTGGCAAACCCCACAAAACTGTTTCTCAACCATTCCATATCTTCTTCCTCCACCTTCACCTCAAGCCCGTGCCAGCTCTCCATCTGAGACTTGTCTGAAATTCCTTGCCTTTTCCTCTGCCACTCCTTCCTTTGAGCCTGACCATGGGTTTTGCTTTTCCCTCCTTTCAAGGCCTCTGCGTAGGACAAAATGCCTCTTTCTTTCAGTGGCACCCTTCTTTTGCTTTACCGCTCCATTTTATGGTCGCCTTTAGCAAACCTGGCTAGATTTGCATGGAGGGGTTGATCACCAAATTTGATTTGATTAAGCTTAGCCTCCAGGGAGTTCGGGTTTGCCACATCAAGGAATCTGGTGAAGCCGAACCGACGTCCCCATCTATCTCTCTTTTGTGCAATGAAAATCTGAATTGCCCTTCCGCATTTCACAAATGCTTGCCACATATCTCCCATCTCCACATCTTTTGGAAATTTTGTGATGAAAAAAGAGGTTGCTTGCTCCAGAACCCCTTTACCATACCCATATGTTGGTTTTCGGTTCCCCTCACGCTCCTGTCCTACTGTCCTTTCAAGTCCCCGTGCATTACTTCTCTGAAGGCTGTGGTAGTTGGTGTGGTTTGGTCACTCTCTCACCGGAAAACGCTCAAGAAAGGGGTTAGGTTGGTTAGGATTTCTAATGGTGTTGGTGGGTTTCTCTCTCATGGTTTCTCTCTAAGGATATAGAATTAAGTATTTCTTCCATTGTTCCCTTGTTAACATTGAGTATGCTGTTTTAGTTGAGTACAGGCCATCTTTGTCGTGAACCCACTCCCATCTATCAGGGCATCCTTGGGATATCTTCACGTCCTCAATCATATTCTGAAGTTTTGTGACCTCCTCACCTTCCCAATTGAACAAATTTCTTCCCCATCATAACTTCCATTCCCATGATCCGTTTCTTGTACTGCCCATTTGGTTGCATGTGTTTTCCTTTCCTGTTGATACAAGATACAACCTAGGAAATTTGTTAGCAAGACTCCCCTCCCCAGCCCAATTATCCCACCAAAATCTAACTGTATTTCCCTCTCTATTAAAAAAGTAAATAGCTATTAATATTAACAAACCCACCCATTTAACAATTTAAATTATTTAATTTAATATAATTTAAATTGTATAATATTTTTTTAAAGTTAATTATATGAATTACTAATTTCAATCAACCATCCTATTATTCTCTTAACTTTCTATGAATATGGTTATTGTCACTATAAAAATTATTAAAGCCTTAAAGGCACTAAAATTTAAAATTTTTTCCTTAAACAACCAGAGTTTGACAATATTAGTTTGTTAATTAATTTTCATTTATTAATTAATAAATAATAATTGTTTTCTCTATTATTACTATAATTAATAATAGTTATCAATAATTTTTAAAATTAATATTTTATTATAATAATGATGATGGTGATGGTAGCTAATATCTGTGCATCTTGCCCGTTTGTACACAAATTCGAGTCAAAAAATGGTGAGATGGAAATTGGATAATGAATATTAGGTATACATTCTTCGTGGCCCCAAAAAAGGGTATATATTCTTCAAGGCCACGCAGCACAGCCCCTGACTAGTTCATTCAAATGCAACTATTTATATTATATGATTATTATGGTTGTGATATATAGACCTAAATTTAGACTGAAAATGGGTATGAAACCCAAGAGACCTGTGACTTGGTTATGCTGCCAGATCCTATATAATTTTTTTTTTTTATCAGCCAACGAAATTTTAATTTAATGAAGCACAAGGGGTGCTCCTGCCCATATACAAAAATTGGAAACCACAACAGAGGAAAGCCACTCTCCAACTAGCCAGATCCTATATAATTAACCGCCTAACTTGGAGAAAGGGTAAAGCTTGATGTCATACGGCCAATGAAGGGCTGTCTAATTAACTAGGTTAGGTTTTATTTGTTAATGCCTATGCTCGTACTGTGGAATTTTTGTTTTCATTATTTTAAAAATATATAAAATATTAATTAAAATTAATTAAAAAATATATAAAAAAGGTTTAAAATTAAAAATTAACATTTTTAGATAAATTACTATATAAAAAATATTTGTATTAAACTTTATTACACGAAATCTTATCTTTTTTTTCTTTTCTCTTTCTTCATATTCCTCTCAGATCAAATATATTAGTAAAGAAATCCAAAGATAATCGCGCGGCCTCTCTCCTCTCATTCTTCCAAAACCTGGTTTCTAGTTTACCTGGCCACTAATGGTCATATTGTTAATGCGCAATTGTATTTATCCCTTGTGTCCAATTAATATCATTTTTTTTTAACTTTTCTTAAATTAAAGATTTACAAATAATTTATGTCTCTATTTATAGTACTTTTATTAAAAAAAATTAGACTTTTGTAATATGATAAATAATTAAAATAAACAAATAATGATAGAATTAAAGTATTAAAAAATAATTAATTACCTTAAAATTTTAAAAACAAAAGTTAATTTAAAATAAATTTAAAATAAAAAAATAATTATTATTTTAAAATGAATGAAGAATAGATGAATATCTAGTACTATTGACACGTTGCAAATTAAAGATCTAGAAATACAAGGTTTATCCAACTTCAGAACTTATTTAAACAACAAAAGAAATTATTGGTACAAGATACAGCTCGAATTGCTATGGTCATGCTTATAACATTTAATTCAAACTTTAATTATACAAATATTTTCATACAAGATATAGCTGTAACTAGAATGTCAAGGATTTATACATGTTGCCATCTGTAACGTTCATATACTGTATGCATCAAATTAAGATTTGGTCAAAGAGTCAATTTCATGTCGAAAGTATGTTGTCATTCAACTCTTATGATAAAGAAAACCAATATAATATTTTCCCTAACTGAAAATATCTTCGAGGTGGGAACCTTCTTCGGAAGGAGGTAAGGAAGGTCAAGGGTTGGTGGAACGAATCAAAATGTATGACTAAAAAAGGGGAGCTAGAGAGCTTGAGTGGACGGCGTGGAATTACCAGCAAGTCATCGCCGGTATGTGTGCTTCCACGCACGTTTTCTTTTGTTTCCACTAGTCGTGTTTCGTAACGCAGATGCTACTTCGCTCTTGCTTAGCTAATTCCTTACCTCTCTTTCATACGTTCAGAGCCGAGGACCAGAACTGATCGATTCTACGCGCCTGAGGAGCGTGCTAATTAATCTGAGGCGTGTTTTTTCTTGGGGGACAATCTTATTGTTAGCTGTAGTACTAATTCTTCTTTTTAGTGTTATTGTGCTTAAATGACTATCTGGATTATAATTGCCTTATCTAGTTATCTATATACATATATATATATATATGAAAAAATGCATATCATGAATCTCTACTTTCAAAAATAATTAGAATCTTAATTTTAAATTATATTATTTTGTTTAATTAAAATTGAATTTAAAATTTTAAAAATTATCTTATTAAATATTAATATTTAAATTTAAAAACTGATAAAATTTTTGAATTTTGAATTAGGATTTCAATTTTTAAATATAAGTTAGGATTATAATATTT